TGTCTAGGACAGGAAAGGAATACTGTTGGTGAAATTCAAGCAACAATGGACCACAATATTGTCAGAAGTGTATTGCAAAATACTAAAAAATTGCCTAAGGCCATTCAGAACAAAAGATATGGAATGCTGACATACAGTACTGTTCTCCTTCATGACAATACCCTTCCGCCTATATCGTATATCTGCTCGCATTCCAGCACTGCTAGAGTTGACAACTATTCTTACAGCCCTACTCTCGTGCTGAGTGGCAACTAGCCGTTTACCTAACTGAAGACCTGTTTGGGATCACAGCTCTGCAACAATAATGAGGAATTGATGGAAGGTGTGAGAACTAGGCTGAGCTCACAGGCGACAGACTCCTTTGACACAGGCATACAGAAACTTATTCCCTGATAAGATAAGTACATCAGTTCCGGCGGTGACTGCGTTCAGAAGTAGCTTAAGCTTGTACTTATATTCTGTGTGTAATCATTTCTTTCTCATTGCTTATTTCGTTTACAGCTCACCGGAAGTTACTTTCCGAATACCCCTAGTACGTGTTCCACATGGTAATAAATTTCTCTGCACGTAAACATAGACTAAACTGAATACATGAACATGCCAAGAAACAAGACCAACAACAACGTCAGAGGCTATTATGAATCATCCGAGAATATTTTGAAATACTTATGGGAAACCCCCCATTCAACAGAAGTGAGCCTTATGATGAAATTAGGACTATATTAAATTTTGAGGTGATTTACTCATATATTATACGTAAAACCCAACAGTGTTAACATTGCACGTCCTATTCAAAACCCTGGAAGTGGAGATGTATGAAACGTTCCTACTTGTTTTATGTGAGTGTGAAACATAATCTCTTATTTTGTAAGAAGAATATAATTTACAACTTTTTGAAAACAATATGTTCAGAAAAATATCTGGACCTAACAACGGTGAAGTGTAAGTGACTGATTTTGGTTATTATACAAAAAGAGCATTCGTGATTTATGCGTGTCAGCTACACTGAGACACCTAAAGAATTAATTCTCTTGGATTGAGCATTACCTCTGTATAACCCTCGGAGTGTCAAGCTTTACCCTCCGACTTATTTCCATTCACGTAGCCTCACCCACCCTTCTATTATTCTGTCCACAAAATTGCGGGGGATGACCATCAATAGTGACAAAACTTTTGGGGTGATAGAGCTATATCAGTTTTGGGTTGGAGGGTAATAATATGCAGAGACGGGGAATCGCCGAATTAGCGAGTGCCATATTCACCATTATCCGTGGACCTTATTCCCGGGGGTTCACTAGAACATTAAAATAATTCCCCGATACGACGCAATGTAATTTGGCAGGCAGGTGCCAAACCACATGACGTCACATACTTCAGAACTGTAAGCTTCACATTCACAGTCTTGAGAACTTCATACCGCACGCATTGATATTGTTATAATAGTGAATTTTAGAAGACTGCGACTGACTGGGCATGTCGCAAAGACGGGAGAGATTAGGATTTCATACACAATTTTGGTGGGGAAACACCACTTGGAGAAAACATAATGAGATTGAGGATAACATCAAGATGAATCAAAATACAATTTTAATCTTTCACACTCTATAACTCAGGAGCCGGTGATAGCGTAATAGATATAGCGACTAACTACAGGTTGGACGACCGAGGGTTCGGAGTTCAAGTCCCTGTAGAGTGAAGAATTTCTTCTCGTCCAAATCATCCAGAACGGCTCTGGGATCCACCCAACCTCCTATCCAATGGGTTCCGTGGGTTCTTTACCCGGAGGTAAAGAGGCCAGGGCATGAATCTGACCACTCACCTCCAACTAGTGCCGAAGAGAAGAAAATGTAGATCTGTACATCCACTCCCCATACACCTTCATGGTGTAGTGCTTAATTAGTTAAGCACTAGAAAAACTTTACCTTATCTTTACATCCTAAAACCAAGATTCCATCTTACTACGGCAGGTAACATTTTACAGTTTAGACACTGTGCTTGAAGATATATTTTCGAGCCTATGCTTTTCATGAAATCAACCTTGTAACGGTAGATTCTTAATCTAAACTACCCTCACGATTATTCCTGATCTACTAATTCCTGTATTATTTCATTGGCGCCCTCTGTTGTCAGTACTGCGTACTTCACGAGATGTGTACCGACTTCAACAGAACAGTCGGTAGTGCAGGTCTGCCTCTTAACATGTGAATACATACGGTTCCAATGTGCTCCCTCGGCTTACGACTGAATTTTTTACGGAAAAGTCGGAGTCCAAGGCAGAGTCAAAGTCACATTGCGACTGACGGTCAGTCAGTCAGTCAGTCAGCAAGTCTTGGAGTCGAGCCCCATCTGGGGCTCATGACCAGCTATTTGTTACTGTTTGACAGTTACTGACTTGTTTCTGTGGGGCGCCCTCTCTGACGAGAGGACGGGTCTGACTTTTGTATATGGTGCTGCCCCTTGCCAGCGCAGTCTTTCTCGGGTCCGAGTCCCTTGGGACTGGCGACCATATTTTACTGTCTCAGATTTGAGACTTCCCTTTTCGTCGCCTCCTACGACTCGCAGGGTCAAGATGGAGGTATTTGATCCCACCTCCACACGGGGGAATTTGCTACGCTGAATTCACTTGTTTTATAAGCCTTCGGCACGGATCACACAGAAAAAGAAGTCACGTGATAGTATTGTTGCAGTGTGACGTCACTGCGTCTGCGTGGAAGTCGGCTTACTGAGCCGTTGCCTAGAAGCGTGCTGCATAAAGTCGTTGTACTATTGTTGAGAGTGTGCATTGCGTATGTTTATCGATATTATATTCCAGCATTCTGTTGCATTGAAGTATTACATGTAATCTTCTTCCTTCTATAATGAAACGACATCAATATAGACTTAGATGACACTAAGCGGCCTCCGTAGTCTAGAGGTAACGTTCCCACCTCATGACTCGTAGTACGCGGGTTCAAATACCCGGCGGAGGTCGTCGAATTTCTAAGGGCGGAAAAATTCAGGGAACAAGTCCTCCGGGAGGGACTTTAAGCCGTGGGTCCCGTGTCGTAGCTTTACGGCACGTAAAAGAACCTCATATCTCCAAAGGAGGTCACTGAGCCAAATTAACGGACGTTTCCCGCCCAACAGTAGTCTCTAATACCTCTGGTAGATGGGGGAAGCATTATAGATACCTCTCAGCTAGTAGAGCCGGTCTCGCTGGCGGGGCGGGACTGATGGTAAGCACCAGTACCGGTAGGATATAGAGACTGATAGAAATCATAGAGGGAAGCACAATGGACCAATACAGGTCTCAGTGCATGAGGAAACCCACACTCTCCAATAACTAACTAACTAACTAGATGACACTAATCAACGTTTAATTCACTAAAATATTCGTTAAAATGTTTAAAATGTCACTAATATATATACACAGTCTGTTTTTATGCTACATGTTTCGGCCACACAGGACTATCTTCAGGCAACACATTTTTAAGGGATCCACTACACTGTTCATCTTGTTAAATAATACTCTTAAAATACACCGTTGCTTTTGTTATTGTTACTTTTGGTATATAGGATGTTTGTCCTTTCTAGCTTTCGTATTTCGGCCTATACACCAAAATTAATAACAAAAAGAACGACGTACTTTAAGAGTAATATTTAACAAGGTGCACAGTGCAGTGGATTCCTTAAAAATGTGTTTCCAGAAAATGGCCCTGTGTGACCGAAATATATAGCGCATAAACACAGGCTGTATATATATATATATATATTAATGACTCTTGCGAGAAGCCTTAACGTTCATCACTGTGTTCATAGGAGCCCGCTGCTAGATCCTAACTTAAATCAGATTTATTTAAGCTATGCTCTCACACACCACTTTATTAAGATGAACTTTAATATTAACTTCCACTCTAATCATAGGCCTTCCAAGAGGTTTCATTCAATTAAGCTCTTTGTATTTTTTTCTCAGCTCTTCCACGCGTATGGCATGCTCTGCCCATCTCATTTTCCTTAGTTTTATCGTCTTAATACGTAATTCGAGGAAGATACAGATGACTCTCTTCTTTGCGTAATTTTCTCGATCCTAATATAAATCTGTTTGGTACAAAAAAAAAATAGAAACATCTGTAGTGAGTATTTCTTGGTCTGTGATACTGAATGTAAAAGCCCTGTTTAATAATATTCTATTTACTCTGGTCATCTCAAGCGGTTAGTCGCTGGCTTCCCACCACGGCCGCCAGGGTTCGATCCCGAGTCTGGTCAAGTGCGATTTGTGGTGGATAAAGTGACGCTGGGGCAGGTTTTCTCCGAGCACTTCGGTTTCCCCTGCCAATCTTCATTCCACCAATTGCTCCACAATCACCCTCACCTATCATCTGGGGCTGGTAAAATAGGCCAGAAGTGGCCGCAGTACAAGGGACTTAGTTCCACCCCACTAGCAATAAAAGAAATACTATGGTCATATTGCATAACTTTTATTTATCGAACTTCGAGGGAACATGACTTCTGATATTTCCTTCAGAAATAACGGTAAAATTTATCACATGCCAGTCTCATTGAATTGTACAAATTTCGTCCGAAATATCCTAATAATCGAGGGATATTATATGATATTATATTCTTAAAATTTAATTCATGTCTCTCCCCTGGCTAGTCACAATACGTAATTGCAATATAATTCGTACTTAGAGTTACTTTTTGAAGACATTCACGCCTTGGGGGCGGGACGTTTCATGTACCGAGAAAGTGATAATCCGAATTATTCAACATCACTCCAAACCTTCAGTTTAGTTTAGTATATTTTCAATCCAATATAAGTTCCTGCACTGAAAACTGAATTATATTAGTGCTTACAGACGCATAATTCCAGTTATATTTGAACGTGGCGCCATTCAGCTGACGAACACGGTCACGTTGCAGTGTAATAGTTTGTGCATAGATGTCACTAGCAGTACTCTCGCTGTATTGTTCGTAGGTCTAGTACGGAATGCAACTGTCACTTTTGTTTACCATTTAAGTTATGGCCGCTTCCGGTGTGTCAGATACGTTTGTGAAAGAGGTAGAAGTCGTGTATTTAATACTTGTTAATGACATATGATTAATTGAATCGAATAAACTCACAAACAAGCATCGTTTAGCACTACTACATTAAGACGTTATGTTTCATTGCAAGAAATTAACTGAAAAATGTGTTTCATTTTAGGCGTCCGGTTTGGGAGTGGTAAAGGGCTGGATTTTCAATTTGTTGTTTCTCCAAGCATCCTGTCAAGAGGTGGGTAAATTTTGGCGTAGTGTTACAGATTGTTGCTACTACAGGTAATTTCTCTTAATTCAATTTCGCGTGTAGATATGCTGGAAGACTTAAGGTCAGCGAACAATTCCTTATGTAATCTGGTCCTGGTGAGGGTTTTCAAAATGTTCTATTATGTTGGCAGACCGAAAAGAATTCCATAATCTAATGTCACTTCCGTGAGAGATGCTATAAATTTTACGGTGTTGTTATTTAACAACATCGTTTTATCTGCATGGTTAAATGTTGGTTTCGCAATGAAAAGATTATTGTAGAGGATGATGATGTATGGAGAATCTGAAGAAACCAAGGAAAATTCTCAGTTGACATCCCAGTCGACGTCATAACCAGACGAGGGAGAAGTAAATGTTAGGATAACATTAAGATAATTCTGACAGAGATAAGTTGTTGGGATGGGAGATAGATGGAAGTAGCAGAGGATTGTGTCTGGTGGTAAGCCTTTGAATTACATAAGTACCGTTCCATAAAGACATATGGGGAGTGGAGGTGTAGCATTGCCATCTTTGGCTTATAGATGGAGATAAATGGCAAAATTCATTCTCCTGATGCTTTACTTCGGGAGAGAATCCCCTCCAGTACTGTATATAGGAAACTGTCAAACCCATAGCTTAGTTACTGTATTGACAACTATGTTAGGGGCATGTTTAGGTTCTGCTTCCATGGTGTTAATTCTACTGTATTTATATATGTATCAGAAAAATCAGAAGTTATTGTTGAAATCTGTGCTCTTTCATGTCTCATAGTACCTGCCAGTAACATATGAAGTGTTAATTTCAGAGGAGCAGGGGCATGTTTTTTTTTGGGGGGGGGGAATTGCAGAAGTTACATTCTATTACACAGATTTACAGTTAAATTATGCTGTTGATTCTCTCACCACTGTGATGTCCAGATGGAATAATTTGTTGTTATATCAAGGCATTTCGGGGTCATTTGATTGTGGGCTCTCCTCCTGAAAATCACACTGGTTTCTGCCTCTTCTGTCAGAAAGAACAGAATTTCGAAAATATTGCATTAATGAGATGGTGACCTGCAGTTTAAGTCTGATCAGTCTGTGTCATGAGACTTCTTTATTAATGAGACCACATTATTTCTAGTCCTTTAAAAAACCTCTAGCGGTAGTTCACTGTCCAAGTTCACATTACATCACTCTAGGCTGTATTATGCTTGTAACTCTTTCAACTCAAACTTAACAGTAAGCTGTGCTGATGCATGACTAACACTATAGGACAAGTATTTGTGTTGTGAAACTGTAAGATTTGGATAGTTGTAAGTTGTTTCATTTCGTTCAGATATCTTCATTTTGTTGTGTCTGTGATAGAACATCATGAATGAATAGTAATGAAATATGTATGAAATTTATGAACATAATAATAGAACCCTTCAACACTGAGACATTTTAATGTCAGAAAGTTCATTTTTCTTGATTCATCCTTCCAATCTCCTGGAATGTTTGAGATATAATATAATTCCCCCCCCCCTTCCACCCCATAACATTTAGTTTAAAAGAAAGGTTTTGCAATGAAAACCCCAATATTTATTAGTATATTAGTAGTTTACTTGTGGATCTGTGTTTTGGAATGTAATATTTTTTTGTTGCCATGGAGAAAAGAAATAAAAAAGACACCTTTATTATAATTCCGTGGTGTTTAGAAAGCAGGCTACAAGTGATGGCTTGCAGTGTCTGTAGGTAATAGCAAACTGTTGCTAATACCATGAAATTCCAAAAGTGTTGATATTGGAAGAAATGTAACTGTTTGAATGAATGTAAATGGTCATAGCAACAACAGGAACAGAATCTTAGCTCTGTCTTTTTTTTTAATAATATAATTATTACAGCTATTTAAATAAAAACAGGATGATGGATAATGTTCATAAACACAATAGTTGTATTAACATACCATCGTTACAGACTTTTAGATCTTACATATAACTATTGTTGCTGGAAACACTAAATAGTTATGAATATTCAAAGAAACATTTTGTAACACAAGGTTGAAACCTTGAAACAAATGGAGTGCTCTATTTGAACCTCTTGTAACCCAGTTACAAGTATAAGAGACCTTCATTTGTGACTCATGGTTGCTTTTTGTTCGCTTTCTCATAGAACTCAAGGGCAGGGTCATTGACATAATGGATATGTGTTTTGGATTATTATTGTGCAGCAAGCATATAAAACGAATCAGCCATCTGTACATCGGTTTAACAGACTTAAATCGCAGGGTACTGGATTAACGGCGTTGATTCTCGGTTCTGTAGCATTGTTAATTGGCTGATCGATCGACAAAAAAAATTCTTGCTGAGCGCTTTTTAGAAGCAAAACATCTAACTGTATACCCACGAAAATCTCTGGACAGACTTTCGTGAAATTTTGTGTTTAATCATTTTACGAAAATTTACCTAGCCGTCTCAGTTTTCATTTGGATCAGATGCTTTTAACGACCACTTCACGCGAAAACATGTATATGTTTCTGAATGCATGTCAAGCATAAGTTGCTATTTATTTGTGGAGGCGAAAAATGTTTCGGGCGGAAGTGGAAGAGAATAATGGTGTTCCCATTTTATGCCCAATAAATTTTGTCCGTAAGCTCTATGGGTTTCGAGGTAATAAAAAGTAACGCTAAGTGTATATTTTCGAACTCGTGTGTTCAACAATGAACAGTGATCTTCTGCACACATGCGAAGATTGTTGTGCCTAATAATTAAACGGAGCTTCCTCCAGTCGACTTTGTACGTCTGCTAGTGTAACACCCATTGAGAGTTCAACGATAAGCCTTATCTTTTGTTATATAAACCTTCTTTCCATTTACTTCTCCAGCGTTCCCCAGTGTTAATTTTAGCCCAATATTATCTGATGATAATTTTTAGCCCAATATTATCGGATGGTACGTCGAGGCCGAAGTTTAACGCAATCTACCACCGCCAACACGCTCAAATAATCAGTCGTAAATGACTTCTTTATATATTATATTATACACCACAATCACATCAAAATATTATCAGTATTGACAGAATTGATATGATGCACTGAAAGAAAAACCTGTACAAGTCGATTCTGAAGGGTTTTGACGGGACTGTACAGTACTCGGAATTCCTGAGTTCTTGGTATTAAAAAAAAAAAAGCTTTCACGAATTGGATTTGTTTCCGTTTTCAGATCAAAAGGTGGAAGGCATCTAATCTGTTGGGTCCCTTTGAAAGAGCTAACCCAAGTCACTGGACAACTTAAGTCAGTATAACTATATGTGCTGCGCCTGAGTTCTGGCCCTCTTAACGGAAGTTAAAAGGAAATTTTGCAATAAAAATTGTGGAAATGCACATGAAGACCAGAAACAAAGATAGAAAAAGAAGTGGCAAATGAATGCATCAAACCAAACCAACAACCAAATTCAGAAACGCCAATGCAGAGAAAAATAGAAGTTTCCGTGTTGTGCAGTACCCGTCTATCTCTTAGTGCCGGCCGGGGAACAAAAGTTGAACCCCGAAACTTAAAGATACGCGTCAAGAGTCAGTCAGGTCATACTGACCTTTCCTATAAGTTGCCAACCTCGTTGCTGATAAGGGGAATTCATATTTCCAGGCCGGGTTGGCTAGTCGGATTCGTGAAGCACGCTGTGTGTGTGTGTGTCCATTCCTTGTATTTCTTATATCTGCTGTTGGTTTCTGTTTCCAATATCGCTGTCGCTCCCCAGCATATCACATGGCCTTCTTCATAGTGGTTTTGGGTCAGCTTTGATTTTACAAGACGACCGCCCAAGAAAATGCGTCTCTGTCCGCGAACCTGCACGGCTAGCGGTCTGCCACACGCACAGGGAAGGCTGTAAGGGGACCGTCCAGCCTCCCTTCCAGTGGGTACCGGGGACTGTTTCCCCAGGGGTAAATGAGCTGGGCGTAAAGCTGACCACTCACCTGCAGCTAGTGCCGAGGTCAAGAAAGCGCGACTCTATACATCCACTCATCCATGCGGCTTAATGGCGTAGTGCTTAATTAGTTAAGCACAGGGACAACTTTACCTTTTACGCTGTAGGTGAAATGTGCATGTTGCGCCTCCCCACCCCTTCACCTGAGGCCGGAAACTGATCCAGTATCCGAAACGTTACGTTCCTTCAGAATACTAGACGATGGACAATGTATAGAAACTGCAGTTTTCTTGATTTTAGAGATGCAAATGTCTCATTAAAATCTTTGGCCTGTAATAGACCATTGACAGAACCCTGCAGAATTCGTGTTATAAGATATTTATATTAGACGCATCGCAGCAACGTCGTTAAAGCTGCCGCATTGGTAAGCTGATTCTGTCAATTTACTTGTTTATTCCCTCTGTTACTGATGATCGGGAATTTTAATTGCGGTACTTTTGAAACGCGTTATTACTTGTACTGTGTCTGCCACTGATATCCACGATAACGCTTATGTACCTAGTATTATCGCTAGTTTTACGACTTCCGCTGTTAGTGCAGTAGCTACTTGAAGCACAATTTGCATTCTATCCTGACGACATTTTCAAGTTGTGTATCATTTTTTTTTCTCATTTTGCAGCGTTACATGTCATTTATAGAAGAGAACTGATAATGTCTCTAATTGGCGGTGGAACACATGAATGACGCATGAGGGTAATGTTACACGAAACGAGTGATCGTATAAAGCGGAGCAACGCTACGAGCATAGGCCAGCCCGTTCCGTCGCGTGTAACAAGGTCTCTAGGTATGCGATAAATGCTTTTTATGTACGAAAGGAGTGGGCTTCTTTCTGTTTGTAGAATTTGTTTTACAAACAGTGGCGCAGCATTTGGAATAATACATTTTTTGTCTGTTATATGTATGAAGAAGAATAGAACAATTCACGTGATATGGTACTGAATGAAGAACTTCGTTGAGCTGCGGCCTTCTTATTTCGTCAAGAAATACCCCATTTGTGGAACGCGAAGTATAGCGCCAGCCGCTGGACTGAGATGCTTGGTCTATTT